TCTCTCTCTCTCTCTCTCTCTCTCTCTCTCTCTGTTTCTCTCTGTCTTTCTCCCTCCCTCCCTCCCTCCATCCCTCCCCCCCCGTGTGTGTGAGTGCATGCGTGCGCGTGCATAAGCACACTGATGTACATGGCACACATCGAGGTCAAAGACAACCTCAGGGATTTGTCATATCCCAGGCTGGATGAACCACAAGCTTCCAGGGAGTCTTCTGTCTGCCTTCCATTTCCTGGTCATGGTGCTAGGATTACAGACACAGGATCTACTGTGTCCAGCTTTCTGTGGATTGATTCTAAACTCAGGGATTTAAGCTCAGGTCTTCACACATATGAGCCAAACACTTTATCCACTAAGCCTCATCTCTCCAGCCCCATTTCATTGATGAGAAAGCTAGAAAGACAAAGTGTCTCACTGGCCATCTGGCTGTCTACCCTTCCTGTGTATATGCTCAGTGAGAATAGGGTACTTGTCAGATTTTCTCACTGTGGATTTCCCAGTGTCTGCAATTGCACCAGACACCCACTAGGTAATTGATAAACTTAGGTGAGTAACTAAATGATTCCTTAGCTTCAGGGGGAATCCTCCCATCTGGGTCCCTAGACAACATAAATGATTGTGTGCTATTACCATTGCAGACAGAATCCTTCAAGCTGAGTGAACCTTACAGCCAGTGCACAGAGGACGGCAGTGATGTGCCCGTCACAAACATCTACAATGCTGCCTACTCCCTCCAGGTAAGCACAACGGGGGCCCTCATCTCTGACTTGTGGCCTAGATCCAAAAGATGAAGTTATATCTAGTCTGAGGTGTGCCTGGGACCAGGAACTAGGGTGAGGATATCTGGGGTTGGTCCAAAAACCTCAGGTACAAACGACGCCAGCTGATTCCAGTCTTCTTCGGTCCTCTGTAACCAGAGCTTAATTGATTCACTGAGGTTTGTGTGGAACACAATGTACAAGGCAGACAGGTCTAATGCTAAATGGGCTTTGGCAAAGGATAGACGGAAGGGAAACCTCCAACAGGAGACACTGGCTGAGGGGTCAAAAGTTTGGCTTCCAGGTACATTTGTGCCCTATGACTTGGGGAAGTTATACCCCCTTGACAGTCACGCTGGGATCAGCATGAGCTGATTGGCAACTCCTGAACTCCTCCAGGTTGCACGGTGATTACTCTAGTCAGAATGACATTTAAAAATTAGGAAATGTCATAAGAAAAATCCATATTTCTAGCTTCTCTCAAATAAAAAAGGAGGAGGAGGAAGAAGAGGAGGAGAATTTGTAGTAGTAGTGACCTGGGATCTGGGGTCTATATCCCAGCAGGATAGACCATGGGAGGAGCCATTGGATTAAAAAAGCTATAGATTGGCTGATATCCACAGATCTGACCCCCATGGCATAAGACATCACTGACCCTATAGACATTGCAGTTTTCAACCTCTCAATTCAATGAGTGGTGGACTCTATCAGCTACTCTCAGAGGCTGGAGCTCTGAAGGAACTAGGGTGAGGATATCTGGGGTTGGTCCAAAAACCTCAGATATCCTCCTGTTAGGATATTAGAAAGCCCATAGATATTCTCTTGGCAGAATAAAAGGACCAAAGCAGGGGGTGGGGGTGTGAGGAGAGGTTATAAAGATGGCTTACACAGTAAAGCACTTGCCCCCCAAAGCATGAAGACATGAGTTCAAAGTCCCAGAACCCCCAGAAAAAGGCAGATATGTGCTTATAATCCTACCAATGGCAAGATGGGACATAGAGACAAGGGGCCTAGAAGCTCACTTGGCCTATAGAGCAAATGAAGGCCCTTTCTACAGCGTGAGTGCCGACACTGAGGGAAAGTGGAGCAACTACTAATCCACACAGTCCTAACAGGCCAGTACTCGGTTCTAAGTCCTCCGCACTGGATCTCTCAGGATTAGGACCACAGTACCCAGGAAGCTTCTAGTATACAGTGAGGGCCTCAAAGCCAAGTTATTCAGGTTTAAATCTCAGTGTTTTGGGATTTTTTTTTTGTTTATTTGTTTTTCCTGAGACAAGGTTTTATTTTGTAGTTCAGGCTGGCCCACCAAGTTGCTATGCTCCTGCCTCTGTTTTCTGAGTGCTAAAACACCTGGTCCAAATGTCAATTTATATCTATATTCTGTTATATCTATATTCTGTGTGACTTCAAGCAAATTACTCAAATCTCTGCTGTGTCTTTTTCCCCTCTTTTGGATAAGTACAATATTATGCCATGAGATTGTGCATGAAATATTAAAATATGTGTCCTTATCACTAAACTTTACCCAGGACATCTTTCTTATGAACTCACTTTGAGGAGACAGGGTAAAGTCCATTTGATTGTAGCAGGAATCCTTGTCAGCAGGCCCTCTCCCACTAACAGTCCCTCTTGTGAGCATTACCTCTTGACTCAGTTCTGAAGGAGGCTGGAGGGTTCCATGCTGGGCATCCTGGAAAAAAAAGTGGTCTTTAAAATTTTTTTAGCCTTTTCTTTAATTTTATATGTATGTGTTGTGGATAGTGTGGTCAGAAAGGGCTTTGGGATGAGGGATAAGCTGGCAGAGAGTTCCTGGCCTCTACCTGCAAGGAAGTTAAAAACATTCCTCGGTATTCTCTTTCAGATCTGCCTTTATTCATGCTTCCAAACGAAGATGGTAGAAAAATGTGGCTGTGCCCAGTATAGCCAGCCTCTGCCCCCAGCAGCCAATTACTGCAACTACCAGCAACACCCCAACTGGAGTGAGTGATCTTACCCCCAACCTTGCACACCCCAGGATGGGAATCAGCTTGGCCCAGCAATGGCCAATGACTTGCCCTGTGATGCTCTTGAGCCCCTGTCTCTATTGCCTTTTGCCCGAAAAGGTGTTAAAGGCTTTCTATCACCAAGCCTGGCTTGGACTGTACTTTTCAATTCTGTACTGAGTGCTATGTTCCGGCATGTGCTAATAGCTTGCCCACATAGTCAACTCTAAAAGGCACTGTTGATACTACTCTTTCACAGAACAGAGAGCCAAGGTCCAGAAAGATTAAGTCACTTACCTGAGGACATACAAATAGAAAGTCACAGAACTGAATCCAAGGGCTGCCTAACCTCCCCTGCCCCCTCATGGTATTTCTTTGTGTGGTTGGTTGGTTGGTTGGTTGGTTGGTTGGTTTTGGTTTTGGTTTTGGTTTTGGTTTTGGTGTTTTGAGACAGGGTTTCTCTGTGTAGCCCTCACCATCCTGGAACTCACTCTGTAGACCAGGCTGGCCTCGAACTCAGATATTAGTCTGTTTCTGCTTCCTGAGTGCTGAGATTAAAGGCGTGCACCTCCACACCCGGATCCCTACTCACATTTTAACCAGGAAATGATACCATTTCCTGATGTCACAAACCAGCAATGCTCCCCCAACCACCCCATCCCCAGATCCCACTTGCCAAGAAACAAAAATAACCCTCAGCCTTTGTAAAAGGTGTACACATAAATAACCAGCATGAGATGGTAGAGGCTCCACAGGTGACCTTAGGAAGGGTGCTGTGTCCCCAAAGTTCATACCACTTTCTACCCTGTCCTCCAGTGTATTGCTACTACCAGCTGTACCAGGCCTTTGTCCGGGAAGAACTGGGCTGCCAATCTGTGTGCAAGCAATCCTGCAGGTGAGTAGACCTGGAGGGTTGAGGCAGGTAGGACCGTGCTGGGCCAGCAGCTTGTGTTCACTCTGTGCCTTTCTCCCCGCAGCTTTAAGGAATGGACACTGACCACCAGCTTGGCACAATGGCCATCTGAGGCTTCCGAGGTAAGTTCTATCTCCACTTCCCACCATTCCCCAGAGCCCTTGATATCCTCATCTATTCTACAAGGTGGGGGGGGGGACATAGTTCCTGGGTGAATATACCTACACAGACAAGACCAGAGACAGGGTGTGTGCGGCTGAAGAAGAGAGCAGTGGGTAATCTTAAGCCTACTCTTTCTTTCTCCATCACAGAAATGGTTGCTGAATGTTCTCACCTGGGACCAAAGCCAGCAAATAAACAAAAAGCTCAACAAGTAAGTTTCCCTCCACCCAGTTCCCTCTGCCTCTGTCCACCACAGGTTCTGGGCCCTAAGCTTGCTTCCTCATTGCTGAGCCCTCCCCTTTTCGTTCATTCAATCATTTAATCGACAAATATTTACTAAGCTCCTATCATGAACCAGGCCCTGCTCTGACTTTTGTTTGACCACGATCCACCATACAAAATATATTTTGCGTTGTAGCCCATTGAATCTATAACTGGAATAAAACATGCAACAGTATTTCCTTGTGATGTACAAAGCACTTGGGCTGATTTTCAGAAGACACACAATGCTCTGGCCAAACCTATTGTTTACAGTTGTCTTTCCATACCCTCCGGGGATCTGTTCCCCAACTCCCCGTGAATACTAAAATCCATGAATGCCCAAGCCCTGTACGTAAAATGGTACATGTTTGCATATGACCCACCACATCCCCTCATCCGCTTAAGTCATCTCCAGAGTACCTGTGATGTCCAATGTGATGTAAATACTATGGAAATAACTATCATATTAGATTGTTAAGGGAACCTGTCAAGAAACAAGTCTGTGCCTGTTCCATTGAGGTGTAATTATTTCTCCTCTCAAAAACTCCCCTCTATGGTTGGTTGAACATATAGACGCAGAACCAACAGACACAGAGGGAGGGTGGGTTTCTATCCTAATCGATCACCACACACCAATCCGATTGGTTAGTGCCCATACCATCTCAACTGGCAAACATTTTTGATATGTCTTTCAATATATTCTGCTATTTCTTTGTCTTTTTTCTTTACCTTTTTGTTGTTGTTGCTGTTGTTTTTTGGACAAGATCTTTGTAGCCCAAGTTGGTTTCAGTGAATGACCTTGAACTCCTGACTCAACCTCCCAAGTACTGGGACTGCTGCAGGCACGAACCACCATGCCCAGCTCTTCCCAGTCTATTCAGTTATGTAGCAGATAGTACTGTAGCCCATTAGAACTTGCTTTGTGACTTGCTGGTGTACTCCGTCTTACATAAATAGTCCCTTTACCACTATATCTTCTAATCCTACTTGGGTCTTTTTCACAAAGAAATTCATTTCTCAGATACTTTTAGCAAAAATTATCTAGGCCAGAGATCGGGAATCTCAGCAGATGGGGACAAAGATGGGAGAGATTGGATTCACATCTGCAACTCAAGCCATATAAACTCCCGCTCTGGCCATTACTATGTCTCAGCTTAGGGTCTTACCCAGTAAAAGCTAATCTGGTCTCCACCCAGAGCCTCCCATTAAGGGCCAGGCGGTATGTGAGTTGTTGGGGGAACGTGCGGGCATCCAGGTCACTAAGCAAGGTAACGGTAAAGATAGAATTAGCCCATCAGAAATCCCAAAACTTTGGAGCCAAGGCAGGTGGGTTGAGAGTTCAGGGCAAGCTTAGGCTACTCATTGAGAAGCTGTCTTAAATAAACGTAACTAATGAAACAACAACAACAAACGAGACTGAGCATTTGCAACCAATTGCTGCAGATGAGTGACCCTTAGCCAAATCTGCTCCATAAAAGCAGTGCTTTATTTTCAGCATTCCCCGAGAGATGGGATGTGCTATGAGCATGTGTCTATCCTCTCATCACATCAGACGGCTGCGTAAGAGGAAGCGCTGCTTGCTGGCTTGCTCAGCCTGCTTTCTTATTCAATCCAGGACTACCAGTCCAGGGATGGCACCATCCACCATGGGCTGGGTCCTCCCCCCTTGATCAATAATTGAAAAAATACCTTACAGCTGGACCTCATGGAGACATTTCCTCAGTGGAGGCTCTTCCTTCTCTGATGACTCCAGCTTGTGTCAAGATGACACACAAAACCAGCCAGTATAAGGCTCAAGTAGGAAATGCACCCAGAGGCACAGAAAGAGACCCAGAGACCAGGTTCTAATAGTCTGAGGAAGTTCAGAGCACAGGTCACGACAGAGGCTTGGGCAAGAGGGAAATGACAGCCATGCTGAAGAGCTAGCCACCTGGCAGGAAGCCAAGCCTTCCCACCACCCCCCTGAGCCCCACCTGTTGGAATTTTTGCAGGACGGACCTGGCCAAGCTCTTGATATTCTACAAAGACCTGAACCAAAGATCCATCATGGAGAGCCCAGCCAACAGTGTGAGTAGTCTGTTTTTCCAGCAAGTCCCAGGTCCACCAATATGCCTGTCTTCCTGGGCTAAGGGAGCAGTCAGTTTGTAAGGCTCTGACCTGATGTAGTTTTGCTGCCAGGGACCAATCAGGCCTCAGAAAAGCCTCAAGTGAAAGGAGACAGGTCTGTAGCCGAGACTAATTGGGAAAAAACATCCTCACCAGTCAGGGTCTCACTAGGTAGCCCAGACTGGCCTTGAATTGGCAATCATCCTTCTGCCCTTGCTCCCTGAGTGTGGGATTGCCAGCATGTGCCACCACTCTCAGCCTAGAAAAGTCTCTCTTGAAGTTATAACATGGTCTCCCTTGCAGATTGAGATGCTTCTGTCCAACTTCGGTGGACAGCTCGGCCTGTGGATGAGCTGTTCAGTCGTCTGTGTCATCGAAATCATCGAAGTCTTCTTCATTGACTTCTTCTCTATTATCGCCCGCCGTCAGTGGCAGAAAGCCAAGGATTGGTGGGCCCGTAGGCGGACACTGCCCTCCACTGAGACTTCCTCCAGCCAGCAGGGCCAGGATAATCCAGCTCTGGATACGGACGACGAGCTGCCCACTTTCACCTCTGCCATGCGGCTGCCTCCAGCCCCGGAGGCCACAGTGCCTGGCACACCACCCCCTAGATACAACACCCTACGCTTGGACAGAGCCTTTTCCTCCCAGCTCACAGACACTCAGATGACCAATGAGTTGTAAGACAGGATTGGAAAACAATCATGGTTTGAGGAGACTCTCTTCCTGATACAGATGGCCCTCCCTCCTCTCCTTGCTCTGACTTTTGATACATGACTAGCAGCCTGCTGTGAACAGGATAGGGTATGGAAATCCACAGAAGGACCTGATGGGACCTGCCCCAACAATCATAACTTCCAGAATGAGCTATTTCTGCAACCTGGACTCGTCACTTATAAGCTGAAGAGCCGGAAGGTAACCGCCTGGGCCAACAGTGAGCTCTTCACAGGATCCTGAGAATTGTACTTCCAAGCCCCAAGCCTGGGAGTTTACCCACAATAACCCTGATCTAGCTTGTAGTTCAAGCACAAGATCTTGGGTAGCAAGGCTGTCTAGCTATTGTCTGATGTGTGTGACAGAAGAAATTAGCACCATCCTTAGATCCCAGAAGTTGGTTGCTGACCTCAGTCATTGACACTGGGACAAGGTGTCCTCTGTGCCCTCAGACAGACAGTTGGCCCAAAGCCTGGAGATCATGTTTGGAGAGGGCACAGTAGAGGGAAGCCAAAAGGTGTGGTAGGATGTCCCCACTCTGAAAGCAGGGTGGAGCAGTAGAGAAGGGCCATTTAAAGGGCATAGCGGGACACTCCTGCCAAATGGTACTCCCATACTCTCAGCTCGAGTGGTATGCTGCGAGCTGTACCAAGCACTTACATAAGTTACCCTAGGGCATAGCAAACACCAGTCTACAGGCCCAATCCTTTACTTTGTCTTTGAACCAAGAGAATGCCTATGTGTGAGAATGTGTGTATGAATGTGTATATATGTATGTGTTTATAATTTTTATATAGCTAATATATACATGTATATATATCAAAAAGATAATATTTTATGACTTGTGAAAATTATATGAGATTCAAATGTTAGTGTTTATAAATAAAGTTTTATTGATAGACAATCACGCCAATTTATTTATATTTTGTTTGTGGCTGCTATGAAAACTGAATTAGCATAGTTGAGTAATTAAAACATTGGCCTTTTCCAGAAATAGTTTTCCAGCTCCTAGGCTAGTCCAATAAGGGTGTATAGAAACTAGGGCAGACTATTTGCTCAAGAAGACTTAGCCAGGAAGTTGCAGATATGAGATTTGAACCCAAGAAACTTGCCTTGCTGGCATGAGCACCCTCTTTCCCCTATCCTGAATGCAATCCCTGTATGCATTATATATGAAGCTGATGCCACTTGGGGGGAAAGAGGAGGAGGCTTAGCACACAGGATCTAGAGGAGGTCCTTCACGCACATATCAGAAAGACCTGCACTCAGAGACTCAGTGACACACAAGGACAGAGATTGGTAAATTCCTGAGTCCTCATGAAAGAGAGGCTGTGGGAAACCTACAAGACATGGGTTCTACCCCTCTCCACGCCTGTGCCTGTAGTCACCACCTTTACCACTGGTTCTCAGGGTGTCAGCTAACAGGAGGGAGGTCATGATGTCTAGGTGGCACTCCCCTGGGGGAGTGGGCTGATGCAGCCAAGCATCCAGGGCGTAAGCTCGGCCAGGCTCCACTTGAGGAGAGTTGGGGACTGTGTCCTCAGACTCGTGGAACTGGCCAACTCTGGCATGATGTCACCAGCAGGAACATTTCCAGCAAGGCTGGAGTGGCTGCTGGGTGTGTCAAAGGTGAGGCCGACAGCATCTGGCTTAATTGTCTTCTAGTAGATGGGCGAGCACACTTCTTGGCTCCAGCCATCTCCACGCCTGCTTGACTCCCACAGTGTCGCCTTTTCTCCTTTTCCATTCACCCTTCCAGGACAGGTGCAAATGTCACCATCTCTGCCAAGCTTTCCCTTGTCCCGAGAAGTTGAAGCTTCTAGCATTGCAGACCATTCACCCACTGGTATAAGTTTTCATCCACTCACTTCTGTCAGTAGATCATGAACTCTACAGAGACAGGAATAACGTCTTACCCTTTCATATCGAGCTTGAGATAGGACTGAACACAGTGTTGACATTTAATTGTATGAAGCTTATAAGAAAAATAATAATTGGGCTGGCAAGGTGGCTCAGCGTTGGTAAGAGAACTTGCTGCCGAGCTAAATGACCTGAGCTTAACCTCCAGAATACACATGTGGAAGGAGAGAGAGGACTCGGTCAAGCTTCCTCTGACCTCCACACATTCACCTCTGCATGTGTGCCCATATGAAGCAAACGAATAAATGTAATTTAAAAAAAACAATAAGAATAACATGGTCTTTCAGCTCCTATTTGCTAGAGATTCTGCACAATGCCTCACACACATCAACCTCTGTAATGCTGGCCCCCTCGGATATGCTTGCAAATAAATTGATGCACAGAGATTTCTCTTCCAACCACACAGCTGGTAATTCATGAGCCCCACCCAATAGCGCCAGAGGCTTAGCCACCAACCACTCTGCAAACTGTGTTGCACTCAGAAGCTGCCCATGAAGAAATCACCACTGGTCTCTGGCTTTGTGTCCAGGGGCCTTCTTATAGCAGGCCGGGGGTAGGACAAGCCCATGACCCATAGAGCATCTCCTAATGATCCAGAGACTCCATGGGAACTTCCACCCCAAAGGTTGACATTAAACAAAAACTTAAGTTTTTCCAGACTGGAAATATATCTCAGCTGGTAGGCCACTTGCCTAGCACGTAAGAGTCCCTGGGTTCAAACACCACTTAAGCCAGGCATGGAGGCACATACTTATAGCCTCAGCCACACACAGCTATGTAGCAAATTCAAGGCCAGCCTGGGATATATGAGACCTTGTCTCAAAGAAAAAAACTTTAAGACCCAGGCTTGTCTGAGATAGAAACTTAGAAGAGGTTGGAGTCGGACATGGATGAAGCTTGACTGATGTGGGAGTTAAGAATGTGGGCTGAGTCACCATGGTGGAAAATGGTCATTTCCTCTGTAAGAAGATGAAGAAAAGCAGCAGCTGCAGCATGAGAAGTTTCCAGAACAAACAGCAAGGCAGCATAGGGCTCCCTACCCACCAGATTTCTCCTTTACATTCCTATTCCAGGACATTGCAGGAAGATGTCTCTAAGAGACAAATGCAGTGCACGGTACTTCCCACTTAGATACTTCCCCACCACCGTAGCCAGGTTTCTTAACTGCGTCTAGGACAAGGATGTTAAGTGGCAGGAGGCTTTGCCACTACGCCTGTCATGCACTGTTCTCTATCCATCCATCCATCTGTCTGTCGAGACTAGGTACAGATCCTGCCAAGGCTTATACAGTGTGTCTACCGTTGACCTAGCAATCTGGAATTTCATACGGTGTTGATAGCAGAATAAACCATTCCATTTGCAACAGCACAAAAAACAAATCCCCATCCTGTGAAAGTGGTCTTTAGCACTTTAATGCTGTTGATCACTTGGTGTGTGTGTGCGTGCGTGTGTCTGTGTGTGTGTGTGTGTGTGTGTGTATGTATGTGTGTGTGCATGTGTATGTGTGTGTGTGCATGTGCATGAGGCCCAGAGCTTGATATTCAAGTGAGTTCCTCAATTGCTTTTCACCTAATTTTTGAGAAAGGATCCAAAAAGGATAAAAGGATAATGGAAATGTGGTATAATACATACAATGGGACTTTACTCAGCCATAAGGAAAAATGAAATCTGTAGGAAAATGGATGCAACTGAAAGATATCAGATCGAGTGCGGTAAATTGGGCTTGGAAAGACAAACACAGTGTGTTCATCTCATGTGGGGATCTCACCTCTAACTGTTAGATCAGCATCTTTAGGAGGGGTAGGTGGACAATGCTTTTTGGGACTGGAGAGAAAGGGGCTAAAAGGAGGAGTCAGGGAAGACAAACCAACAAGATAAAAGGGGGATACCAGAGGTGCAGAGAGATCACATGGAAACCTGTGACTTCACAAGCTCATTACAGATGAAGCAGCTCCCAGAAGAGCCCACTTTGGTTCCTGATTAGGGCACCTGTGTCATCAGGAGGTGGTGGTGAAAGCCTGTAATCCCAGGGCTGGAGATTGATAGCTGTCTACCCAGCCTCAAAGCAAGGAAACAAAGAGAAGCCATCAAGGTAAGGGACAGTCAGCGGAAGAGCAGTGAGTCAGTCAGTGCAGTGGGAAGAGAGACCACTCCCAGGTGCTGTGGGAGAGGTGCTGCCACTACTGAGAGATGTTATCTAAGAGAAGCAGTTTATTGGAGGGAAGATAAATTTTCACTCGTGATTTCAAAGGGCTCCTTCCAAGGTTGTGTGGGTCCATTGCTTCGGGCCTGAGGTGAGACAGAACAGAGTATTCCGCAAGACAGACAAGAAACAGAAAGGGGGAGGGGCTTGGGACAAGAGACCTTTCAAAGCTTACCCCTATGACCTTCTTTTACCAATCAGGCCCCACCTCCTAGAACTTTCACCTTTTACCCATGTCCTTTCACCGGCTGGATTCCAAGCTCTCACTCAACACGTAAGCCTATGGAGGATGTTTTATCTTCAAAGTAGAGCAGCTAAAGAATCATTGATGCAGATAGATTTACCCTGGAGAAGAATGTTCTGGACAGAAGGAAACGCCAGCACTGGCAAAATTACCTCCTTTTATAATAGAATATCATCTAAGTCACTAAAAAGGAACGAAGTGGGTCAGCAGGTGAAAATGATTGACAACAAGCCTAAAGACCCGTGTCCAATCCTCAGCACCCCAGGAAGGAGGGCACTATCTCCAGCAAGTTGTCCTCTGACTTCCATACATGCTCAGGCTGATTGCCCTTCCTCACATAAATGTCATTTGTAAGGAAGTACTAATTCATATGGATGAATTTCAAAACTATCATCCCAACTGAAAAAGCCAGCAGACATAACTGCTTCTACCCACTTATAACAAAGACAAATTCAGGAGAGTCAGAACAGATTGGCAGCTACCCAAAGGAAACGGGTGCTTATGGCTTAATGGAGTTGGGGTTCCCACTAGGGAATGTAAAAAATTTTTGGAACTGCACAGAAGCAGTGTTTGTAGAGCACTGTGGATGTGCAGGATGCCTCT